CTTTTGATACCACAAATAATATAATTTACTGGTCAATAAAGAGGGTGAGATGGCAAAAATCCTCTTTTGTTTTGCTTTTGATCTGGCAAACCTCAGACCCTTGGCCAAGTAAGTGAGAACACTTCCATTTAATTGCATATAATAAATATTTATTTTCCTAATTTAAGCCCCTCAAAGAGGTATTTTGAACTCTCTCCATCCCCATAGATGGGAAACGCTGGCAAATAAGTAAAAAAAAAAAAAAAAACTCTCTTGCCATCTAGTGGTCATCCAGAGTTTTGCAGCCCAGGTATGGTAAGCCTAATGTGAATTGATGTGTGGCATTTGAAAGCATTGAGATGGGCTGGTAATGCTTTATTGGTATGTCAACCGCTCATGTTACTCTGTCACTTTTTAGTGAGAAAAACATTACTCAGGGAAGAAACCCCAAAGAACATTTCGAAGTGCTTTGTATGTCATGGATATTTAATGTACTGTAATATGATTTGACACAGAGAAGTTGGGGAATACGAGAGAAAGGCAGAAAAAAGTAATGATCTGAGGCAGAGGAAAAGAGAACAGAACTTTAAACTGGGGGGGGGGACAAGAGACAAGAACACTTTTTTATTTGTTTGAAGGACAAATAAGAGATAAGGAAAAGACTATTTGTGGAGACATAAATCAAAGAATCATTGAAAAGGAATTTTCTTTCTTTTGTACTGCTGCTTTTTTATATTTGAAACTTTCCTTAGATTTATAATGAGGAAAGGAGAGAAGAATTTTAGATCCAGAATCTTAAGCAACTCAAAAGTCTGAAGTAAAACATGAAAAAGAATAGGGAAGAATGAAATTTAACAGCAAGAAGGGAAAAAAAACTACTGGCTTTGCTGTGACTGTTGAGTCCACAAAGGCAGGCCTGGGGTCTCAGTCAAATGGCAAACAAGAAAAGAAATCTTTCTTGTTCTGTAATGATACCATTCACTGTTTCAGGTGCCAGCTCTGCCATAAATGAAAGAAACAACAAGAAACCCACGCTGGCTTTTCTGTTTTAATTAAACCCAGACTAGGAAAACATGAAGTTGGCTTTGTAGTAATCTCTTAAAATAAGGAGTATATTTTTTTTTACAGCCATAGGTTGAACTTCATCTGTTACCTTCACAGAGCAAGATTAGCTTGATTTATGGACAATATTAGACTGAAGCTATGTAACTGCTAATGGCTCTTGCTGGGCCAAGGAGATAGAAGAATGACTCATCATACTGAAATCTTAACAATAGTGGAGTGTCATGTTTTATCGAACTAATAAGTTTCAAAGGTAATTCTCTAGCCAGGCCTAGCTACAGCACTGTTATAGAATCCCAAACACTATATATTGGTTTATAGAAAAACCCGTAAGTTTAGTTTTCTTTTTCTTCTGATGCTGGCTTGGAATTTGATGCATGAGATTTCTCAGACAAAGGACTTTCATATTGCTATCATAAAGACACCTGTCATGGAGATGGATAGGTATGGAGTGTGTTCTTTGGAGAGCAAAGCCCAGGGCTGGACTGCTAATAAAACAGTTGAGCTATATGTTCAAGCACACCCTAGCACAACTGTACGCATCTATTTCCAAGTCCCCATCACCATTATTAAGGAAACTGTAGGCCTCTAGGTTTATTATGATTATCTACCCTGTGGGTTCTCTAAAGCCTGTAAGGGTTGCAAAAATCTGGATCAGGTGTCTTCAAACTTGGCCCTTTTATGACTTGTGGACTTCAACTCCCAGAACTCCTCAGCCAGCATGCCTGGTTGAGGAATTCTGGGAGTTGAAGTCCACAAGTCATAAAAGGGCCAAGTTTGAAGACACCTGATCTAGATGATAAGTAGATAGTAACCAGAGAATGTTAATGACTATACTTCTTTGTTGCTATTGTTCACCCAGACTGCTGCATTCTACATCTGGTAACCCTAAATTCTTTGCAAACTTCCTAAAGTGAAGTTAGGTGCTTTGGGACATTGCCTGAAATTTAATATGGTAGCCTGAAAGTAGAGAATGGATGCCTCAATGGTCATAAATGTGGTTGCCAAGTGCCCAAATCAGTCATGTTTTAATGGACCTTTGGAAAGATGTCTAGGATGGGGCCAATCTCACTCAGAGGGTTGATGTTCTACAGGGCAGATGACGCAGTAGACAAGGCCCACCTCCTAGGTCCCACCATATGAGACTTTTTCACAGATGGGACCCACAGCATACCTCTTCTGCCAGAACTCCTACCTGACTTTACAACTGCTTTCTACTTTCTAATTAATTGTTCTTATTAATTGTCCTCATACAAATTAAAATGTTAAACAATTGACATAAAGACCCACTTATATTATTAGGGGCGGAATAAGAGGATTTCCAGAATCATTTCCAGAGCGGAAGTTTTATGGTTTGGTCAGATTAGTTGAATTTAGTGCAATTTGGACCTCGACTCTCAGAATTTCTCAGCCGGCCACGCATGGCTAAGGATGTGAAACACTATTTTAGTTCATTGTTATGGTATAACAATCAGCATGTGAAATATTAAAAACACATCAAGTATAAATATATTCAGATTCAAACAATCTTTGTACATCTTAAAACAAGGACTAGGAAGAGGCATAAAACCTTTCCAGGCTTAATCATACTAATTAGCAGGCAATGTAGGAAATAAGTGATGGAATAAACTTTTGTTATACTGAAATACTGTATGCTGTATATAACTTGTTATACTGAAGTGTCTAGCTTTTTCCATATATCTTGAATATGTTCATAAAATAGGTAGTATAGATGTATTTACTAGCTTTATTTAGGATCATATATATTGCCATGTAAACTCGAACTGCCGATTATTCTTAAATGTTTTGAACCTTACACAATGCTTCTCTTAAAGATCCCAGTAGAACATATAAGCAGGCTTTGGCATTGAGCGTAAAACAGCAGAGGAAAAAAACAAAACACCCCAAACACCTAAATGACTGCAAAATCACAAACTATTAGGGCTAGTGAAAATTAGAGTGGATATCAAACATGCGTTTGAAAGATCTGGAGAAATAAGTTTTTATTTACCTGGTACTTAAAAGTTGATGCCAGAATAATTGAAAACAGTACTAATAGAAGGCCCTTTGAAGTATCTGAACAATTAAATATAGTAAATGTAATTATTCTCCAATTTTAGAAATATTTTTCATTCTGTTAAAAAAATATAGTTTAATAACAACTTATAGAGTGGTTTTTCTGAGCATCAACCAAAAATGTGGTGGGATTTAAACAAAAAGCTGACAATGGTTGGTAGCATTTAGCAATTTCATTCACATGTTCCTTTGGAGAAACTCTCAGATGAATGCCATCTGGTCCTGAGATTTGTTGCTCTTCAATTTGTGAATTTGCTGCCTCACTCCCAGTCATTAAAGCCCATTTCTCTCTACTCAGGAAAGACAGATGAGAGTTTTCCCTCTACAAATTAGAACAAGTAGAACTGAGGCAACCAGACTTTCTAAAGCAGAATCCTGGCAGGCAGCTCTGCTTCCTCACAGTCCTGTTGAGGTACACATCACTGTTAAAGTGGCTGCTTCCACTTTTCATCTTCTCTTCGTGGTCTTCAGCTGTGTGGTTGAGGATCTCTGCCCACACATGGGCTGCTTTCTGACGGCAGTTGGCTGGGATAAAGCTGAAGACTGGAGAAACTAGGAAACAGAGATTAATAGGAAGAGAGAAGAGGAAGCAGGATGGAAAAGCAGAGTGGGAAAAAAACAGTCATCTCTTCTATTTTTCTTGGTCACCAACATCATCCCATGCACTGCCAAACTTGTAGAGAGGAGTAGGTTGGGCAGCAGGAAGAGTTGATAAGTTTGAGATCCTTCCCCATTTCTAAACCCAGCAGCGTGCAACTAACTCACTTAACTGGTGGGTGAGATGAAAGACCTGGCTGGACGTAGAGGAGTCCAGCTGCCATTCTTTTTCTTTCATTTGGCATTACCAGGAGAAACAAAAGTGATGGTAGGCTGGCTGGTAAAGCCTTTTCCTTTCTCCCCATCTCTGCCATGAAATGTTGCAGATGCTTCTGCAAATGTGTAGTTCATTCATGAGCACCTTCACTGACACCATATCATGAGTCTGTCTATCCTACTGTCAACTTTAGAATGAGCATGGCTGCAGCCATTTTTTCCTTCTCATTTCTAGTTGACACATAGCCAGGTGTTCCGCTAGACAAAACAGACTTTCTCTTTCAGACTTTCTCTCATGGGAACCAAGGTGATTGGCTGCTCCCGAGACTGCGGGCTGGTCATTTCATGAAAAGCCCGCCAACAAGCAGTTATGGGGAAACGTAGTTGCTTGCATAGCCTTAGGGGTGGGATTTTTTAAACTTTGTATTGGGGAATTGTTATGCATCTCTTCAGACTTGGTTTCACTTTTGAAGTGTCGATACTTTGTATCGATAAACATGTTCTTTGAGGAATTTCAGGCCTTGGACTTCTGCTTTACTTGTCTCTGTCTATTGGAACCTTGACACCCTTTCCTTTGTTGGCCAAATCTGCCAGCTGCCACAAAAGGCAGGCAAGGAAAGCCTTCTGGAGGCTTCCTGGCCTCCTGGAGTGGGGGAACAAAAAGGATCAGCCTGACAGCATGTACCTATGGATGAAGTTTAGGAATTAGCAGGCATAGCTTGGAGAGAGCCTCTCATGACCCAGGCGGATTCCTCCAACCTATTCTCAAAGTATCCTTCGTAGAGGTTGGGAATGTCAATGTGATGGTCAGTCTACATCTGGTCTTCATGAAGTCAATATTCTTATGAAAACATAACAAAAAAGGAAAGGAGGTAGCTATCCACAAGAGGAATCCATACACTCTGTCAACCATAGCACAAATGTCCACAAAAGCCTGGAACTCTGCAGCTGGATGGGAGGAATAATTCTGGAGGGGGTCAATTGGAGCACAGCAGATTGCCAAATGTCTGAAGACTCCTCCATCAAGTGATATTTCTTCCACTTTCCTATGAAAAATATCTTTCTTTCAGGACAGATTGCCTTGCTCTGCCTTTGGATAGTATCATCAATGGACTGCCCCCAAGGAAGAGGCTCCATTGTGACGACATGTCCTCAGTCTCCAATAAGAAGGCCATTCTGGATGCAGGGTAAGGACACTAGTAATAAGTATTTAATTCAGTGTTTCTCAACCTTGACAACTTTTAAGTTGTGTGGATTTAAGTTGTGAGTTCCCAGAATTCTGGGAGTTGAGGTCCACACACCTTAAATCTACCAAGGTTGAGAAGCACTGTTCTAGATGAAGTAGTGGAAATATATTTGATTTTAGACTGAGTAGTTGGAGACAACCTAATGCAGTATTTTCCAGCATAGATGGGCTTTGTCACTTTGAATTCCCCAAGTGATAGGGTCACTCCTGAAAATTTGGGGACCAACTCCACACATTGGGCACTGAGGAATGGGAACACTGATCTAATAAGTAGTTTAGTCCAATCTCTAGGAGAGCTTTCTGACATCCTTAAGCATGACAGAAAAGGAATTAGTGAGCACAGGAGCAAAGCACAGAAGGGATTTCTGGTTAGCAACTGCAGCAATTTAAAGTTCATCTTCCTTGTTTCATTACACCAGTGTAGGGACAGGCAAAGTGACAAATTTCTGACAAAGTGTGAGTGGAAAGCCTCTGATGTGTACAATGGGATTTAATTTTATTTTAATGAAAAAATATACATATAAAACTATCCATTAAATATAAAACAGCAAAGTAATTTGCAAATTTTCCTACAGCATAATAAATTAAGCATGGAGAGCACTAGGAATGCAATTTGCAGTCATTTATAATGCAGTATTTTATGTTAATAATTCAAAAATCACATGCTATTTGCAGATACTTCTAATTAATGTATTTATGAAATAGTGAACTGTGACTGTTTTGGTTCCATTTAGCTAAACATTTCAACAGAATGTGCGTGTTGTTGATTTGTGTTTGCTTGATGGCACCAGTAAGCTTCAAATGTACAACAGGGGAAGTTGTGGGTTGTGAAGTTTTTTTTTTTAAAAAAATATAAGCACACTATTACAGAATACTGGTGGTGTGAAAAGTAGATGGGATAGAAGAAAGAAAGAAACCTTTGAGAATTTACTTGGAATAATGTGAAGCAGGAAACTTTTGTGAATGAATAATTAACTGAGAGAAAAGTTCGGAGCCTTGTTAGAAGCCCTCTCAAATATAAGTAGTTTTTGCATGACGCTCCTCCAGAACTGTTCAGACACGGCATATAGAATAGTCAGATTTGATTTCTTATTTCCATTTAGATTCTCTTGTCACACAAACAATAAACTAAATATTTCTTAGGTTCCTCAGGAAAAGAAAATTTAGGATTCTATTTTGTTTTGTATGTGCCTGTGCATGCACATGCACATAGGAGAGCCAGTGTGATGTAATGGTGAAGTTGTTAGGCTAGAAATGGAGACACAAGGTCCTAGTCTTCAGGCATTGAGCCCTACTGGGTGACTTGGGTGATACTTCTCTCTGTCCTAGACTGGGAAATTAAAAAAAAAAAATCTACTAACCTAACTGACCAGTGTTACAGACTACATTCATAATTTTTATTGAAGAGACAGTGGATTGATCTGGGATGATAATGATATTTCATCATATACTAGGTTAGAAATGTTGTCTTCCTATCAGAGTTTTATTTAATTGTATGCCCCTTTTACCTCTGATTTTAACTTTTAAGAAAATTGTTTTAAATTATACAATGGACAATGTTCCCAAGTTTCACTGATTGATCGAATATGAGCCACCTAATAGGAAAGGCAAGTTGTGATCTCTTCCAACAGCAGCAATAACCATTGGCTTGAACATACCCAGAGAACTTTTAATTAGTTCATTTTTTCATTGAATTTTTGTGCGTTTTCTTTCTTTTTAGGAAAATTCCATTGGTGCTGTTGAATAATTATTTATTCCATCTTTTCTTTATGTTGCTCACTGAGGATTTAACATTCATAGTGAAGGAAATTGTGCTGATTCAATGGATTGTGATCACAATTTTTAGTGGGAATGACTTAAGAACAGTCTCTTTATATGTTCTATTCTCATGGATATATGAAGCAACCATGTACAGTAGATGATGATATAGTCTTGAGTATTGATACAGTGTGTTGTGTTGTATTCTTTCCCACTTGTTGCCCTCACTTCTTTTGGCTACCACTTTCAGCAGCCGCAAAAACTGGGATTGTTAATAGTTCTAACATAAAGCAGGCAGAGATCATCAAGCTGGGGGAAATTATGTATCAGCTGGAATCTGGATGAAACAAAAATAACAGATGTTTTCCTAACTTAGTGTCTTCCAGTTCTGTTGTGTTAGAAACTTCTAAAATTGTAACCGCAATATCTCTACATCATGGAAGCTGTGCAGATAAACTGTTCTGAAACCTACTTGTAAGATGTCCTTCAGTCAAGAGCATTTCATGCTGAACTTTCACATTGTGAACCACTCTTACCACATGTCTGCAGATGAAATGATGGTGGCTATAATTAAAGGCTCATGTGTTGTGACAGAGTGCTGGTGAGACTATTATTGCACCAAAATATTAAGTTTAAAGAAGTGCCCTATATTACTGAAGACTCATGTATTCTAATGACTATATTCATCGCATAAATAAAACATTTTAGACGAGTAATGGGCAATGCAAGAGCAGCTGAGCACATTCTTCACAATCTTGATAGAACTACTTAAGCTTATACTTTACAAAAATGGCTACTGCCAACAGTGCTGAAATAAGATTTTCAGTTAAATAATGTCATTTCTGTTTTTACTCTGGAATACCTTGATAAATAGTCTTGCCTCTTTTTGAGGGGACTGTGATATATCAATACACTTTGTCTGTTGACCCAGAAGGGCACAGTTGATGATACTTAGACTATTGCAAATCCTCTGCCATATGCATGTTGTCTAGCCTGGACTTCAACCCTATCACTTTTGAACAGATTGTTTTAGACAACAGATCTCAAGGGCAGAGAATCTGCAATGCATATATGTTTCCTTGCTCATTTAATTCAAAGGAGTCCTCAACATTGACCTTGTCTCTGGAATCCAGCTTGGCAGGGAGGTAACACAGTGAAGACCTGCAAAATCCCTTCTTAAAAGGCGCACCTGACCCCCCAAAAAAAAGGCCAAATCCAAATGAATGAAAATGTAAAAGCATCTAGTTACTTTGCTGTTGTTAAACAAGAGACTAAGAGAAAAGCCCTAAATGAATAGCTATATACATCTAGCAGATCCTACTAATCCTACAATATTACTTATTTCAGAATAAGGCATATTTTTTTCTTTTTTTCAGACCAACAATCTTTACAAAAGTTGTTTGGATACCTTAACAACAGCAAGGATTTTTCAAGTTTTCTGCCTTTTGGATTGTATTGACAACTCGGTGTATCAGACAACACCCGACTTCGGCGCCAATTTGCATGCCTAGAAAGTCATCTTATACGCCGGAAAATATGGTATTTCTTTGTTTACTTTCATTTCTCACAAATGGTGTGCTACCAAGATGCCAAGGCTCTGTATGTTTCTTTTTTTTAACCTTAAGAGACTTCCATAGACAGTGTTTCTTTCAAATCCCCTTTGTTTACCTGTACTTGTCATTTTCCAGCCAGACTGGGTTGAATCTCCCTCTTTTCTTCTGACAAATCCCTAATTTATTCCCACCAGTTTGTGCCCTAGTACGCCTGAAAATAAAAGATTCCATGCATATGTAACCCTGGTCAGTAACCAATGTTCTAACAATGGCTGTATTTTGAATTCAGCAAAAGCTGAGCACCAAGCACAGAAGGCCTTTTAACTGAAAAGCACCAGATGTTTTGGGAGAAGTTGTCATGAGCTTCAGCTGACCACTTCTCTTAGCTTGTGTCTTGGTCACACATGGAAGAGTTGGAACTGTGGTGAACAAGGAGAGATCCTGTAGGCTCTTTAGACATTAGGTAGAAAATCAAAGAGCTTTTGTCTCTGAAAAGCAAAAGTAGCTATGGTGAATAGAGCTTCCAAAACTAAACAGAGGCTCCAGGGGCTCTATACCAGGCTATAGTTGATTGCAAATATAGAAGGACAATCGTCATTTCTAATTCCTTATTTCTCTCCAAATGCATATCCTTAATGATGCTCTTTCAAGAGCAGGGGAGTACTTAGAGATGGTCCTAATCTGAACAAAGATGAGGCAAACGATTCAGACAGCAGATGTTGCAAGAGGCAGATGTTATGAAAGTCAGATACTTCTAGCTCTGGTTCTCATGTTTGGTTGGAAGGCAAAGAGATGTGTATCATACAGTCTGCTCTGATTCTATCAACCCCACAAGGTAGATCAGATCAGGGAACAAACTCCACATGAAGGCCAAAATTACATTTGTTGAAACTCACTATAATAACAAAATCTCGCAAGTCTGTTGGTGCTGCAATCCTCCTCCTTGTTATATTCCAACAAATCAGGGGGGCACCTGCCTCAACTATTTCTGAACATTATTTTGTTTCACTGGGGTTAAAAAAAATGTTGCAATCTCCTTTGCTTAGGTGGGAGTTGAAGCCCACAAGTCTTAAAGTTGCCAAGGTTGGATACCCCTGATTTAGATAATAATTCCTCTACATTTCCATCAGGGTTAAGCTTCCTGGCTTTGTACAAATCCTTATTCAGGCCTGTAATCCACTTGCATCACGGAGAATGTTATCACTGATACCGATTCAACTTTTTTGCAAAAAATATATTTTATTTTTTTAAAAAATGTCTTTTAAAACGCCTTTTTACGTAGCCTTTATATATAAAAACGAATCATCTTCTTTTTTGAAGTATCAATGCAGAATGCCTTGGACAACAAGAGTGGAGTCTTATTTTTCTTTTGATGTTAATTAGAATGTCACCTTTTCTGCTCAGTGTATCCCTTTCTCCATTTTTAAAGAAGTGCCTTATGGAAGAAAGGCTATAAATTGTAAAACAAGCAAATCAATTAAAATCTCCTTTTTAAAACTGAGCCAGTAGATACAAGAGATGCTCATTTAGGTTTGTATGCCAAGAGTTCATTCAGATTCAGAGATTTTTCCTCCTAGAAATTTATGAGTTTCTTTTCCCTATTGTAGGTAAGCACTTACATGATTGTAGA